TTGTTTTTGTTATTTTTTGGGCCTTTTATTGCCTTTATTTGATAGGGACAGCCAAAGATAGACAGGAAAAGGGGGTAGAGAGAGTGGGGATGACACGCAGCAAAGGGCCGCAGGTCGGATTCGAACCCTGGGCCGCTGCAGCAAGGACTCAGCCTCAGTACATGGGTCGCCAGCTCTACCCACTGAGCTAACCCGGCGCCCGTAGGTTGCTTTTTAAAAATAAAGTTGCTCAGTGGGTCTGGAAAGCCACTATTTCTGGTGAGAGAGTCTCCAAGTTGCCAACCCTGGGTCCGTCTGCTATGCTCTCCAGGGCTGTGAAGCACTAAAACGAAGTGTGGAGATGTGGTCTGTGCGACACTCTGAATGTATAAAGAGCTGTCTGTTTGACCGAGTGTGTGCTGAGCTGCACGCAGCTTCAGGCACAAAATGTGGCAGTGCGAGCCTTCTGTAAAACTTTGCGAGGGTGTGGAGCTTTTTTAATGTAACTGTTGTGAAACAATCAGAAATTGTTTTTTCTCTGATTCACTGCTTTGTTCTCGGTAACGCCTAGGACTGTGTAATGGAAATAACCGGGTGAAGCAATACTTACCATGATATATTGCAATCTTTTTTTTTTTTTAACAGATTTTAGAAAACTGTCATAGTATAAAAAACACACCTCCATAAGTAGAAAATCTGAGTTTAAAAAAAAGGTGTATGCAACCACATCCAACAAAATGGCCCTCAGTTTACGTTTGCAACACTGCTATGTCACAGGGTTTTACACAAATAAATCAATAGATTTAAAAAGAAATCTATATTGCAAATGTAACAATAATATAATAATATTAATAATACATTTATGTATAGAACAAAATATAAGCAAAATATCGCAAGTGGTGATATGAATAATGAATCTTTTTAAACAGCAGAGGTGCTATCTATTTTTGACTTTGCTTGTTTGACCTCCTATGTTACTCTTGTCCCCAGGTGAAGACTTTAAAATCTCTAATCTCTAAATTGGAGATGTGGCAGCTTTTTGGCTGCCCTAAATCAGAAAGTGATATGGGTAAGAAGATAACTGACGAGACATGGCAAGAGATATGAGGCTGTTGATAGGGTTATATTTTCAGTTTCACTTTTACAAAGAAAATGAAATATGCATTGTTTTGCACACTTTGTACCCTACCACGGTAATAAAAAAGGATTCTTTAATTTAATAAAGACAATATAAAAGATTTTTGCCTGAGGAGAAAAAAAGGAATCTTAATTTCTCTTTAATCTCATTTTGTATTGTTGTATATTAATTTATTTTAAAGATGCAATTTACATAATATTTCCCCTTTTGATTAAAAAATGAAAATAAAGGACCAAGATCTAACAAAACATTACTTCTTTAAAGAAAACCAGTGCTGGCGTTGTACGTTCACTACTTTCCAGTTGAAAATAAATGAATAAATAAATAAAAAGAACAGTGAAATAATGCTATGTATGTCCAACTTTAGGAAACTGTTGGGAGGTTTTCACTCCTGGTCTGCCGGGTTTGGCTCAGCACTGCCTGCCTCCTATATTGCCATCCTCTTGGAACGCAAGAGCAGGTGAGAATCCAGTTTATATTCACTTTTCTTTTTGCTACTCCTACTCTCTGAAACTTTGTTGATGTTTTGAAGTAAAAACACATTTTCCAAGTACAACACTGCACAATGGCACGATGGCAAATGCCACTCAACGGACCTAATGAAGTTGTTGGATGCATTTCAGGTACCGGGCATGATGTTGTAATTATTGATTCTGTGTTTATTGAAAACCTATATGTCTCTCCCTCTCTCTCTCCCCCCCCCCACCACCAGGAGAGGGCTGCTGACAATATACATGACAAATCTTGTAAGAGCCACTCTGTTCATTTAAACATGGTTTGTTTGATGTAAAGGCATGCACCCACTTTTGCCACATAATGTATATGTAACAGTGTAATCTTGTTGTCAGGCCATTGAGACATTGTTCCGTATGGCAGTGACACGAGGCATCATCAAACCCATCCAACATGGCGAGGTAAGATGAGAGGGAGGTCTGGGTGAGATTAAAGTGAAGGAAACTAAATTATGGGGTTTAGAGGATAAATAATATAATACAGGAGGGCTCCGTCTCTCACCAGGGGCTCTTAGACTTGCACACACACTTCATCACATATCCTCATGACTGTTTTGCCATCCGCAGAATAATGTCTGAATCTACGGAAGTAGATTGAAAAAAAAAAAGGAAAAAAAGAAACTCCCTGACCTCACTTGAAAAGAATTTATTCTGTGGGATTATTGCAAAACAACACTAGCAGCTCAGGCTACATGAAAACTACAGCGAGGTCTAGTTGTGAACACTGATTTGAGTTCAGTACATCAAAATACCATGCTGACAGACAGCAGGGATGCTTCCTGTTTACACAGTGTTTACACAGTGCAACATGAAACACCTCCACACCACCCCACACCCATACCCACACACACGGACTCACATTTTAAGGTCTTTTACAAATATACAGCAAATCCAGGTTCCTACTTTTTTGTGCTATTAATTCACTCATATCCTTTTTTCTTTCTGCCTTGGTCTTTGTTTCCTACCTTGCTTCTGTTTCCCCCATTAGGTACTCCTGTTCTGCGTGACTTCATCGCTCTACATGTTCTTCTTCAGGTCAGAGCAGCATAGTGGACAGATTCTTACAGGGAAATGTGAAACATTGGTCAGTTGACTGTTATGAACAGACTTTGGATATTTAAAGTTACTATTTTTGTTTTTTACTGTAGGAGTAAAGATGGTCTCAAAGGCTTTGCATCTTCTGCATTAAAGTAAGTTGTCCGTGTTCCCATTGATGTGTTGATTTAGTTGTCAGTGTTCAAGTAAAGCTTACAAAGGTGGTGTGCATTTTATTTTACAGATTTATCATCGGGAAAGAAGAGATTCCAACTCACTCTGTCACAGCAGAACACATCTGCACAAGACCCCTTGAGAGGGCAGCTGCTATAGAGACCGAGGACTCCCAGGTGTCAGCAGAAAGGCCCAGCTCTAGGAGAAAAACTCTGGTAGCCTACACCAGGGAACTGCTAGAATCAATGTGAGAGAATACACATCTTAACACAGACACATGTGGGTTTGTACAGAGTTCGCAGTACTCACTTATTTTTTCTTTTTTTCCTTTTCTTTTTTTTAATACTCCAGATGCAAAAAGGGTCCAAGACACAGATGTTGTAAACATTACCAGGACAACTGCATTTCCTACTGCGTTAAAGTAAGACACTTTCATTGTGGATATATTATTGATGATGAATTTGTAATATTCGAATAATATATTATTAAATGATGATAATAATAATAATAATAACAACATTATTTAATATGTTTTTCTTTTCTTTCATTGTCCAGAGTTTTGTTAGGATGTTCAGTGTTGGCTACCTGATTCAGTGTTGTCTTAAAGTGCCCTCAGCATTCAGACAGATGTTCTCTAAGCCTTCACGGCTCCCCTCCCTCTTCTACAACAAAGAAAACTTCCAGCTAGGGGCCTTTCTAGGATCTTTCGTCAGTATCTACAAGGTATATTTCATATATCATATGTCAACAGTACCTAAAGGCACATTTGATTTGTAATCTCTGCTATCCTTCTCTGATTTTTCTTGTCTTTTACCTATTTAGTGTCTTTAATGATGTCATGAGTATCATGTTGTTGTATGCTATGTTGTAATATTTTTTTTATGCGTTTCCCTTTCACTCAGGGAACAAGCTGCTTGCTGCGCTGGGTGCGTAATATCGATGATGAACTCCACGCACTGGTTGCTGGTAAGAATAATTGTGTCAAATATTATTATTATTATTGTCAAATAAAATACGTGTAGAGCAGTCCTACTCTGGACTTTCTAATGTCGTAGCTGTTGTTTGTTGTTTGTTTAACTTGTTTGACAGTTGTCTCTTTGCCTTTTTGGCTGTTTTTCAAGGCTTCCTGGCTGGTATTTCAATGTTCTTCTACAAAAGCACGACAATATCCATGTATCTCTTCACAAAGCTGGTGGAGGTAAAAGAAAATCTCTTTGGGCATGAAGCAGAGTCATATATTACGTCACTGAAATTAGTGTTTCAAAATCTCACCTCTCAAACTGTAAATAAACTTACATAAGTATGTAAAGTATTACAGGTAAATACCACATTTTCATCATAACAAACTAACAGTACTACTACTACTTGCAAAATAGTGTTGTTATACATGTCTGCTTATCTGAAACCAATCTGTATTAGACAGTTTATCATTAACAGAATGTAATCTGTCTCTCTGTCTTTAGACCATGTACTTCAAGGGCATTGAGGCCGGACGGTTCCCTTACTTTCCTCATGCTGACACGGTCCTGTATGCCATCTCCACTGCTATCTGTTTCCAAGCTGTAAGCTGTAACACATACACAAACATGCATATCTCATATAAATATGCTTCAGATACTATTTATTTTTTGCTGAGTAAGGATATAATGCATGACTTGTTACTGTTACACAGGCTGTGATGGAAGTGCAGAACCTCAGGCCTACATACTGGAAGTTCCTGTTGCGTTTAACTAAGGGCAGGTAGGAATGTTTGATGTGGAATCTGTCAGTTGTCAGACTGTTTTGTTATTTGTCATTATTAAGGTTTGATTTAAAAATTCTGTATCTGTTGTAGAGAAAAAGGCTACTTTATTTAGCATTAGTGAAGATTTGGCAGA